CTTTTGTGTTTCTCTTCCTTTCCCTCCCTCCAATTCCCAGGGTAAAATGTAGCACCACACCCTGCAATAATGTTTTCACTATCACCTTTGTAAGGCTGTAACTTCACAAGAATTCAAAAAGCCTGATGTGCTATTAGCATTTTCATCTTCTGTTGTGTAGGTTTGAGGGAACACAACAGAACTTTGCTTGTGCAGCACAGAAAAAAGCAGAGAGGAAGAAAGGATCCATAGGCTTCATAGGGATATGATGGAGATGACCCCAGCTGGTATAGTCTGCCTTCATTTCTCACTTGTATCCACATGGCTCTGGCTCTCCTGGGTTTGTGCTATCTTCCAAAAAACTCTTTTCAAGTGTCTTTAAAAATTCTAGCCCAGGCACTAATTTGTGTGCTGTCAGTTTGGATTTCTGCGTTCACTCTAAGTGTATTTCATGTGTTTCATTACATGAAGCATCTTGATCAGCACAAGCCTGGGGTATGAGTCTGTGCCTGAGCTGAAAACAGTAAGCTGGGAAAGAAAGGTAGGGGGATTCATGATGCAGTTCAATGGATGAAAAAGAAAACATTAAATTCCTGTTGATGTGTGGAGACTTGTGATTTACATTCCTGCTCTTTTTAATTCGGGAATTCTCCCCATGCAATGTGACTTAAAGCTGTGAGGTAGAAATAGAAATTTTATTGGTTTTTGATTTTCTGATGTTTGTCAGAAATGCAAATAGTGGTGGATTAATCTTTCCCTGACATTGATTATTAAGTTAATTAGTGAAACATTTAATGGAAGGAAGTTGAAATTCATGCCGGCAACTATTTTTGCAACTGCTCGTGCCATTTTGTTGTTATATGGAAATAGCCATGACTTGTCTGACACCTCTTCTACTTCCATTGCCTTAAAAAAAAAATGAGATACTTCCCCTTTGGATATAATGTGTTTATTAAAAGAAGAAAACAGCACCTGCACACTCTCTCTTTCTAACTTGGGTGTCAAATCTCTCTCCCATCATCAACCATCACAGGGATAAGGTTTTATTTATTTTATTTATTGCCTCAAGTGTTCAGTGTCTCAGAAGGAAATATTTTATTGCTCTCCAAAGATCCATTGTAAGGCTGTGATTTTTTTTTTTTTTTTAATAAAGCTGACAGCATTAGAATCCCTGAGCTTTTGCCACTGACACCATTTATACAAATCTGAACTTTCAAACCTTTACTTCTTTTACTGTTCAGCTACTATTTGTTTCCATAGTCACATATGTATGACTTCATCGCAGTTCACAATTACATTTTCTGGAGGTTAGCTCATTGATATATTGCACTGGTCTGGGCATTAACTGCTTGGATGAACTTAGTTTTCATAGTCTGTTAGTCTGTTGGTGACTCAAAATTTGCCACAGTCATACGATTAAATGTGGGAAACATCTGTTTTAAGTAGTCTAATGAAAATCTGAACATCTGGAAAATATTGGTAAAGAAGCTAATTAAGTTTGTCAACTTACAAATTGTTCTAGCAGGAAGTGTTTAGGAGCAGCAGATAATTGAGATTTCATTGCTCTGGAACGTTGTCCTTGTCTTTTGTTTATTTTAGTATAACTGAAAGGACTATTTTACTTAGCTTCTTCCAAATCCACCCTCTGGACACAAACTGAGAGATAATCAGGTGCTGTGTGGCAACAGGCTGCACTTAGAGTAGGAGAAATGAACGCTGAAAACACACTTTCTTGCCTATGCCTCATGTTTTAACCATTTTGAAGCTGTTAAATAAATATTCAGGGGTTGAATATATAATCAACTTCCAATCACACTGATGACGCTTTCTCATCCTCTCAGCTGATGATTTTGCTGCTGTTGCTCAGGTCTTTGACAGTTTGCACATGAGTAGGGCAGAGTGATGTCTTTTCGGGAGAAAGCTACTGAGAGGCTCCACGTAACACTGAACTTGACAGAGAGGCACCTGTGGGATTACCAAGAATACCTGCATTGGCTTCTATCTGCAAAGTATTGCCTTGCTCAAAATATCTGAGATTGGGCAAAGCACATTTTTTACACAAAAATACTCCCCTCTTTGTGTCAGAGAGAGATTTTCATAAACCGCAATGGGTTGAGACCTCAAGAAACATCACAAATCTCGGTATTTTGCTCTAAGGGTGAGGCAGCTCTGTCTTAGTTTCACAGACATTAAGTTATAGAAAAGGAGTATATTTTAAAAAGTCAAGCCCAAACCTTAATGCCCCTCAGATCATGCATACCTCTTTCAGTCTAGGGGGAGAAGAGACACACAACACAATTATATGCAGTTTTATTCCTCTATGGACTACGCAAGATGCTCAGATACAACGGTGACCGTCACAGCATTAAAAACTACATGCATATTAATTTTTAAAAGTCTGCCTGTTGTTTTCCCCTCATTTCCTGTCTCATTTTTGCATTTTTTGGAAGGTAGTGATTTGCTCTACTTAAGCGTGACCACATCTTACTTGGCTTAGGCCCTTGGTGAAAATAAAGCTTTTGTCACCGTGAGTAATACCTTTAGATGCAAAGAAACATTAAGGGCTTTGCAGTGTTACTCACACAAAAGAGAAGATATTAACCAATAGACTTCCTTGAAAACACCTTTCTGCAGCTAAATCTTTAATGACAAAGGGTTTCTTTGGAGTTTCTTGGTGAATTATCCACAGTATATCTGAGCCTTCTTGCTCTAAAGAAAGCAGGCAAAATTTTACATTGAATAAAAGCAACTCCTATCCTGCCTATCCTTCCCACCAAAAAAGAAGACACATGAATAAATTAAGGTACAAATGAATGTAGATGTCAAGTGGATAGGTCAAACACACAGTGGAAAAGAAGTGTACATTTTTGTCTCCAGCAACAAACACCCTGGTGACCAGATTTGAGAGCAACTAATTGAGCAGTAATTGTTATTAATGTCTCTTGTCTTTGCAGTCCACAGCAATTCTGGCTGAGTAGAGCTTTGGAAGCAGTGATAATTTTTAGGTTCCTTGAGTGGATTTTAACTGTTTGGTTTTGTTTGTTTTTTTTTTTCCCATATATTGAGAAATGTGAGCATGCTTAAAAAGAAAATAAAAATAATTAAGACATTCACTAATAAGAATTTCTCTTTATCTGGAGATATCTCCAAATGAATAGTGCTAATGTATGATTTGTGCAGACAGGCACTGACTGATTCTGTTCTGGGTTTTCTGCCCGTGCTCCGGAGTGGTGTTGGTTGTGCTTTATCATTAAAAATTCTGACCGAGTAAAAGGAATTCATAAGAAAAGTATAACGTGGTTTGAGGCCTGTACCACTGGACATAAGGACTAGTGGGCCCTGGGAGAACTGGTCTGTGCTTTATCTGGTGCCTCTGTACAATTTTTCCTCCAGTGATGGTATTGCTGAAGACTCTGCTGGGCAGCCTGTTTGTACAAAATCAGGAGAAATGATCTTTTTGCCTTCCAAATTCTTGTCAAAATTGGTTAAATACTAGTTAAGAGCTTCAAAGGTATCTAGGAGGCAGACACATATGAACACGTGGAAGTTCATACATGCAGAGTGACTGCATTAGCTTCACTTTGATATGAAAACAGTTTGAAAAAGACAACAGTGCGAATAATTCCCAGATTCTGAGGGATTAGAGTTAGGATGCTGTGTGGTTTACAGTAATGACAGAGCTAGCTGCTGAGAGGAGATTGTGACCTGCCACTCCTCAAAGGCTAAAGGTATTTGAGGAGATTTAGTTTGTTGTTAATCTTTAGGTGTGCACGGGCATAATTTCCTTTTTTTCTATGCCAGCTGAGACTCTGCAATCCTCTGGTGCAGACTAGCCCAGCTTTTCCAACCTGGAATCCTTTATGTGCTAAGTGGCTAATGAAGAATGCATTTGAAATTATATGTAAAAACAGTGCAAGAATCTAAGGAGAAGGGCCAGAATTGGAATCTGCTTTTAACAGGGCTTGCTGTTCTGTGCTGGCAGCATTTTAAGAATGCAGTCCAGCTCCTTAAGTGCCATAATTGCACCTGTAAATCACTTCCAAGTGACCTAGTCTACATCTGCAAATAACTGTGGAATTGAAAAGAACAGGCAGTGTTTTCAAATCCCCCTCTGGATCATTTTCACTTCTCAAAGAAAAAAAAAAAAGGATTATTCTGAAGCTCAATGCCCAAATGTAAAAGTAAAATTCTAAGTGAAACTAGATGCTCACTTACTTTAAAGTCTGGGTCCTCATTACATCTTCTGAATAATGAGGAAAGAAAAAGATACAGAAAAGTATCTGCTCTTGTCTTTCAGACACTCCATTTCTGAATTTCAAGGTCAACTAAACAAATCTAGGTTACAGTTCTGAAAGCTTCGCACCTGTGCCTAGAAGTTATATTTAACATGAGATTCAAGATTTTGTTCATTTTTCACGTATATCATCGTGGCTCCTTATGAGTCGCATGTGATATAATAGATACATTTTTTCTTTTTAGGCTATTACTTGAAATGACTTTCTGTTTCTTTTGTTTTACTTCCTTTATTACATGTGGATATTATCCACTTGATAGAAATAGGAGAAATTGTTTTGGCTTACTCTTGCCCTGTGACTCCTAATTATCCAATATTTGTACTTTTCCATCTGTTGGTTTTGGGTTTGGGTTTTTTTTTTTCCCTTTCAGTATTTTGGATGAGGAAGAACATTTCTATAAAAATCTGTTCTTTCCCTGGAGCAAAATGGCTCAGATACACTCCTGGCTGCAGATCTGACAAGAGGAAAGGTTTTGAATAATCAGCAACTTTTATAAAGCCGATATTTTCCTCTGCAGTAGGGAAATACTTTACACAAGGACTCAGGTGCCCAGACAGTGTTATAGCTTATTCTCAGTAATGACATTTCTAAATGTTGCACTTTATCTGGGAGGAGACAACTAAAGTGGTTGCTGATTTCCTGTGCAAACATGGGCTAAGACAATCAGCCTGTGGGGTAGATTGGAAATACCAGCAGCTATCACCTGCTTTTTTTTATTGCCCTTAGTCGTTGCCCATGTCAGCTGGTACCAGCAGAGTGACGACCTAGTGACTGTGTATGCCATGGTGGTGAGCAGATGGGGATCCCAAGCAAATCTGAATCCTGGATGGCTCCATCAATCTCTAAAATAGCACATCTAAAGCCATATCAGGTGAGATCCTGTGTGCTGCACTGGCATAACTTCTAGGAGAGCTCTTGGTGCTTTCTCTACTACTTGTGCCCATGTAACTAAAACATAGGAAAAACAGTCTCCATTTCCCAGCTTCCAGATGGTTGCACTCCTTGGACAACTGCTTGAAACTCTATTCATCTTGCTTCTTCCCATCTGTGAGGAATTAGTGTTTGAACCCTCTAAGTCTGATATAGTATTTGCTGAAATCACCTCAAAACTTTTCATCTGTCCAAGCTGGCTTCAGTTCAGGATCCACTCCCCATTAGAAGAGCCTTATTGATTCCCACTGGTACTCAGAGATCCTCAAAGACAATTGTGGGTTCTAAAATGCCAATTTTAAGCCTTTGCATACAAAAATGTTTTCTGAAGAAGTGTTTCCCTTTCAAGACATCACAGATTTTTGTAATAATACCTCAAAACAGGTATTTCCTCTGCCAAGCAGCTCCCTAGGAAGCTGGATGCTCTGACTGATGAGCACTACTGATTCAGAGCAGGAGCAATAAGTGTAATGGGATCCATGAAGGTTCTTTCCAAAAGGTTATTTGGTTTCTAATAATGTGCCAGCTTGGAAAGTTTCTAGTATTTGGACTCCAGGTAGTTCTCACTACCAGAATACCTCCTCCCCCTACAACCATCCACCTCCAACTCCCTGCCAAGTAGTAGTATTTGGACAAATATTAGTTTTTTCCTTGCTAAGTTTCATGCAGGTGGCACAAGAACTTGCCAGCCAGTTGGTCTGGAGTTTAATGTGAATTTTTTTTCCTCTTGGGACTAGGCAGGCATCAAATTGCAGCAACGTGAATCTGTACTTCACCAGTCTGAAGAAGGAATTACCTAGGACAAATGTTTCTCTCTGCTCAATCTCATCTGAAATCCCTATAAAATCAGAATGCAGACAGGAGCTAGAAATAAACATTTATATACCTTTCCAGTCCCACTGGACTTCAATCTACCACAAACACTTACTACAGCTATTTAAAAAATATCTTGTATTATCAGTTGATCCTCTCATAGAAGTTGTATCTGCCCATTTGATTTGAATTTCAGTGGTATTATTTTGCGTGTGTTGAACTACAAAGAGAAGAAAAGGGTTTTGTTATTCCTTTTCATCAACTGATCTAATGCAAGAGGAAAATTGCTGGTAATTATTTTTATAGCAATTATGCTGGCCCAAACACCGTAAGTGCAAGCACATTCCTTGTTATTTATTACAGAAAGATCTCAAACCACAGACTGTTTAGAATGCACAGCATTTTAATTAATGAACTTTGATGAAACTTATTTTAATACAGCTTTGTTTTCCTTATTAAATGACAAGAAAAATTAATTACAACAGATCTGGTAGTGCTTTAATGTAGTCAAGTTGCTGACTGTATTTCAGTAGTTAACTTTCTTCCTTTGGATATGAACAGCATGGCTGCTCTACAGGTGTTTTCTCAACCCATTATAAATCTGTGAAGCTTGAACTTTTATCAGATTTTATGCCTGAACATAAAAAGAATATTTTTTTTTCTTAGTTGAATTTATCTTAAGCCGTAGGGAGCTGGTTGTCTTTTTGTAAATGGGTGGCTGGTGTATGTTGAGGTATTGTAAACCTAATAAAGTTTTGAGATGAGAGATAGCTCTTATTTTCTAAGGATGACACTGTGGGACTTACTTTGTTGCTTTGGATCATCACAGTTTATGAATTATGTTACGTGTCCACGCTGCGGTATGGGCCTTTACTACCTCCCTTTCTGATAATGCAGCTCCTGACTTAAGACTACCTAGCTGGATGAGCATTAAAAACTCACTCACCACCATATATAGTTGGAGTGATTGAAAAATAACAGCTTTAATGTAGGAAGCTATTGTCCAGCAGATTGTTTTCCTGAAATATTTCTGCTCTGGTGTTTGTTTCTGCTGTTTTTCCTTCAGTGTTCCCCCAAAAAAACAGATTTTCTGCAGAAAAGTAAAACGGTAATGAAACTTCAGTCAGCATTGCATCTTGGAAGTGCTGCTGTGCTGCCTGACAACAGCTGTCCTTCATCTGCTGCACATTCACACTCTCTTGCTCCATGGAAGGAAGGTACTGAGTGTCATGGGCTGCTTGCTCCAGCCAGAGTGCCTGGAGTTTAAGAACAGTAGCACAGTAGCCTGGTGGAACAGAAGCACCTTCTTAGCTTTGGCAGAAAACATTGGCTTTGAATTTTTTCCCTCCTAATATTTTTCCGTGTAGGCTTCTTATTTTTCTTTCAAGTTGCTTCCAACTTGAAATGTGTGCACATACATATGCATGTGCTTTCCTGCCTTTGGTGCCAGTGCCACCAATGGACTTCATAGCAAGCACTCAGAAGGGAGAGCATTGTGAGATCTTTCACTCCTGGTTCTTGCCAAAGTAGTTTTTTTTCCCGGAAGAAAATTAGCCATACTGAATGTAGTTTACTTTTAAATATATCAATGCAGAGTGGAAGGGAGGTTCATCCAGTACTATGAGGCAGCCTTTGAAGATGAATTCACTATTCACTAATATATGTTAATTTTTGAAAGCTACAGCTCTAGATGAGTGATGAGTATCTGCATTAAATTTTGGATGTTGATATTTATAAAATAAACATTTGTCTTCTAGTTAGAGCATTTATATAGTCCTTCGATGGACAAAACCACAATTTCTGCGGTATCTGAAACAGAATGGACTCTTTCCAGAGTATCTTTTGAATACTACATTTCCAAATGGAGTTAGAGGTATAATGTTGTCTTCCGTATAGATTTCAATTTTTGGTGAAACTGTAAGAAATGCCTTATGACTCCTGAATGGCTGTAACAACCTGTGCGATTCCCTAGGTGTGTTTCTGGAATAATTCTAACTGGTGATGTTGGCACTAGATGAGCTTAAGGTCCTTTCCAACTCTAACTATTCTATGATTCTATGTTTGTCTTCTTCAGGATGTATAATTCTACTCCACTGCAGGGTAATACCTTCACAGATAGATTGACTTCTGAGTATTCTACTTGATGATGGGTTAAAAAACCAACCAACCAAACCAGTATTCATTCTCTTGTTATGGTTTTATCCTGAAACAGTTTTTATTTTTGACTTGTACGTATTAGAACAACAATTGACTGTCATCAGCAGCCCTACCTGGTATTTTACAGTCTTCCCCATGCACAGCTTCCCCTGACACATCTCTGAGTACGTCTCCTGAGTAGGTACTTTTCCAGGTTTGTTGGTGTTTTTTTGATGTGCCCCAAGAGAGAATAGGATGAGACAATCATATTTAAACCTGCGTCTGAAACAAAGGCTTTGAACAAAGGTGAAAGACTCATTTGACTTACTTCATCACCAAGCCCATACAAATTAAACTTACACATTACTCAGAGTACAGCTTGCAATTATGTTGATTAATCATATGTAACTGAGAAAATGGAAACTCATTTATAACAGGCATTATTAATTATTGTGTCACTTTTGATTTCTTAAAGCCCTATTCCAGGGACAATTCCACTCCCAATGAGCTGGTTAATTTTATTTCTCTTCCATCTTATTCATAATTAATTTTCAAAATGTTGTTTATATGAAACAATTAATTTAACACAGTTCTTTAAAGAAAAGGAATATGTAAACTCATTTAGAAGTATATTATTTTAATACTGATACTGGAAATAGAGATGTTTTCCCAAGTAATATAAATACGAGAATGTAAGTTGACCTTTGGTTTGTTTTATAGCAGAAAGTAATATGTACATTTGATTTTGAAAAGTGTATTGACCTTTGAACCATTGTCTAAAGAAAACTTGAGCTAATAATGAAAAGAATGATATGAGAAACTGTTCAGCTAGTAAAGAGTCTTTTTTCTTCTATGAACTGGCACCACAGTACTCTGAATCTTAGGAAACAGAGAAGTCATGTATACTGACCCCCAGAAGATACATACAGTATCACTTTGGCTGCAGATTTTGTGTGTCAAAGAGGTTGTGTTTTCTGATGAAAAAATCCCAGAAGTCTTATCTGCAGGATTGTTTCACAGGTAGCTTTCAATGGTAGTGTCGTGATTCAAAATGAATGGAACTGGTTCTGCATCACTGTCTAAAAATATTCAACACTGTGCCTTCAGAGAGGAAACCATCTAGTGGCTTTAGTTACTATTGACATGTGTTCAGCTAGACCCAGTTCTGATGGGTTCTCTCTCAGAGACTTGCTTATGTTTCCCAGCCATTCTTTTTTTGATCCTCCTCTTCTGCCTCCTCGGTTCAAAGCCCTTTGCAAGCGCTGAGCCAGTGCCCTGTTCCAAGGCACTGATCAACACCGACTCACAGGTATGAATCCTACTCTTTCAAGATAGTTTGGCTCCCCCAGAACTCACCTAGCATTTTGGTGGGAGCAAGCCCTTGGGGAAGGAATTACTGGCTGCTATTTTCTAGCTGTTTCTCTGTTCATACTGGAATGCTGGAGTTAATGATGGGACTATTGTGTTTGCCAGAAGTTGAATCTGGGCACCATTTCAGCAGGCAAAAGTATTCCTAAAGCACAGTGGTATATTGAGTTGTTTTGTTTCAAATTCATCTAAGGCAGTCACAGACAGTGACTCCATGTAACTTTTAATTAGTATATACCTACATGATTTTAATAAGCTTTTTACAAATGGATTGCTCTGTCACATGGCATTATTTTTTTAAGCTTATGTTGCTGAGGAGGTCAAATGTGAATAGCTCATTCTAAGATTGAAATAAAATATGCCAAAAGTAATGCTTTATGAGATGATTAACAATTCCCTATTCAACCTTGCTGAGAGATTGTTGTTACATCCCTTTGTTAATGTGCAAGTTGTCTTTTGCAACCAAGTGAGGCAGCCTTTTGTAATTTAGATAATAAAGAGAATTGTTGTTGTTGTTTAATGAAAGAATGATAATTTATTGACACTTGGATCACATAATGCAGGGAGTGTAATGAAACCGAACAAACTAATTTTATTCCTCCCTGTGTACTCCATGCTAATTAAAAGCAACAATCAATATGGGTGTAGCATTGTCAACAAAAGCATTAAACCAAAAGGCTGATGACAGTTTTCAAGGATGAGGCGGTTGGGAGGGAGGTTAAAAAGAAACCAGGAAATATGCAGAAGGCAGAAGCTGGAACTTTTGATAGAGAGATTTTTGGACTTTCAGTTGAGTTTTATGGCTTTTCTTCTTTGTATTTTGGTCAGATGACTGATTTGGTAAAGTCTGATGATGCTTTTTATGCCTCTGATTTGAAAAGAGACTTCTTAAGTCAAGGCGCTATGACTTGCTAGTGGGGTACATGAGAAGGAGCTTTCCTGAAGGCATCTAATTTTCACAAACCCTCTTGTCACAGTGGCTTTCTCTGGAGTTAGTGAAAAAATTCCCATTGCTCCTGGTGGGATCAGGATCTTGCTGTAGAAGTCCCCCTATAAACTTGTACAAGGAAGGCTCCTTGCGAAGATCAGGGTGGCCTGACTAGCAGCATTCCCTAACCATTGTCCCAGAAGCTGGCTCAGGAATTTCAGCAGTTAGCTTGCTTTCCTCCTTTCTGTTATAATAAAAAATACTCATTTATCTGTTCCACGGATCACAGTAGGAATGAAGGACACAGCGAAGATCTTTACAAATAGCAGGGAGAGGGTTTGTGTGAACACTTTGGACAACTGTTATGTGAATTTTCTTTACCAATATAATATACATACATATATATATATATATCCCTTGTACCCCTTAAAAGCATCCAGATTACTTACTGAAATACAGAAGCTGCTGTGTAACATAAACAGGCAACTGTACTTCAGATAGTGCCAAAACTAAACTGCTAAATGATTTCTCAACTCTCATCCATTTAGTTACCCTTTGGGTGCTGAGTGGACCTTGCACTTTACTCGCTGAAATTTGGTTTGTAAGCTCATTGAGGCTTTTTTAGATGAGGATGAAACAAATTCTGACAAGAGGGGACTCCTCAAGACTGTATTGCTATAGCCATCAGCCTCTGGAGAGACAAAATCAGAGTGATTTCAGCTCCAGCAACTCAATTGATTCTGATTTCATTAACTAATGGGCAATGTTGAGGTGTCTCCTTTGATGGTGTTTTGTTCAGTGGACACCATAATGTGCCAGTTGTAGTTTTATGTCTCTGGGTATCCTGTGGGCATAGATGTGTGCAAAAATCTGAGGGATATAAGAAGGAAAAGCAGGATAGAAAACACATGTCTGCATGGCTCTTTTGGAAGACATCCCTCTGGCTTTTATGAAGTTACATCAGGGAAAATAGATCCTGCCTTACCAGTTTTTGAAAGTAGATGAAATTACCTTATATCCTCCTAAGACTCAAGGCTCAAAATAACACTGTGCTGAGGGAAGCCTTCAGGGAAGCCTGTGGAGACAAAGAGCAGAAGAAGGGGAAAACAGAGAGCAGATGGTTTTCTCAGGGAAATGATCAAAAGGCTGATGGCAGCCTGTTTCTAAATTGAGGGGCTGCGCAGCTGGACCAAAACATCTGGTCAGTTTACAGTGGATGAAAAATTAGTCACTTTTTAGCAAAGGCAGTGGATTCATAAATGTATTCTTTGGGGATTGTGTAGTTCA